TATATATATATATATATATATATATATATATACGTATGTAGGGTTCAGGGTTATATATTATATATATGTATAAGCAGCACTGCAGCATAGACAGTGGTTATTTCAGTTTGAGGGTTTAGGGTTTAGGGTTTAGGGTTTAGGGTTTGCACGAGAACGCACAAGAAACCCTTGACGACGTTCCAGGCTCCAATGAAGAAGCGATAAGCTCCTTGCTGCTGCTGCTGCTGCTGCTGCTGCTGTTGCTGCTGCTGCTGCTGCTGCTGCTGCAGTGCCCCGACGGCGGCTGTGTGGGTTTGCCCCGAGACGCGTGCTGCTGCAGTGACAGCAGCAGCAGCAGCTGCTGCTGCTGCTGCAACGATATTCTCATCTGTTGCTTGTCTTCGTTGCTGCAGCAGCTGCTGCTGCAGTTCTGTTGTGCTGCTGCTGCTGCTGCTGCTTTTGTTATGTGCTGCTGTTGCTGCTGCTGCTGCTGCTGCTTGGAGGCACTGCATCATGAGCTCATCAGGGACTCGTGCTGCAGCAGCAGCAGCAGCAACAACAGAGACAGCTTCTGCTGCTCTCCCTGCTGCTACAAGCCCCAAAGCTAGCCGCTGCAGCAGCAGCAGATCGCGGGGGTTTCGCTTGTGTGCATGCAGCAGCTGCTGCAGCTCTTCTTCTTGTACAGACCCTGGTGTTGCTGCTGCTGCTGATGCAGCCACCTGCTGCTGCTGCTGCTGCTGCTGCTGCTGCTGCTGCTGTGGAACTGCAGCAGCAAACGGAACACCAAAATCATTTATAGAAAAAGAAGGACGGGGCAAGGGCCCTGATGCAAAAGAAGCAAATCGCTGCTGCTGCTGCTGCTGCAGTTGCTGCTGCTGCTGCTGCTGCTGCAGCAGCAGATGCCGCTGCAGACTACTCGGGCGAAGAAAGACAGGAGAGCACGAGAAGTGACCCATGCTGCTGCTGCTGCTGCTGCTGCTGCTGCTGCTGCTGCTGCTGTTAGCTTGGCTGTGCACACGCCACAGCTCATAGGGCGCAGCAGCATTGGATCTGCTGCTGCTGCTGCTGCTGCTGCTGCTGCTGCTGCTTGTGTCTGTGTTGCTGTTGTTATTCGGGGGTAACAAAGCACGCCGCCTCGCAGCAGCAGCAGCAGCAGCAGCTGCTGCTGCTGCTGCTGCTGCTGGGGGACCTCTAGCTGCGCGGTGCATGCGGACTGCAGCAGAGGCGAGGGGCCTGGAAGGGCATGCAGCAGCAGCAGCAGCAGGAGCAGCAGGAGCTGCTGCTGTTGCTGCTGCTGTTGCTGCTGCGTCAGCAGTCACAATAGCTGCATCAGCAGCAGCTGCTGCAAGAGCAGCAGCAGCAGACACTGCATGCTTCCGTGCTGCTGCTGCAGCAACCCTGGGGATGCGCATGCTGGAGCAGCAGGCTGCTGCTGTTGCTGCTGCTGTTGCTGCTGCTGTTGCTGCTGCTGTTGCTGCTGCTGTAATCCCACGATCCTGCAGCTAATGCTGCTGCTGCACTATAACCGGATGTTTCGCTGCTCTTTGCTGCTGCTGCTGCTGTTACTACTGCTGCTGCTGCTGCTGCTGCTGCTGCTGTTGCTGCTGCTGCTGCAGCAACTACAGCAGCAACTATATTTATTTATTTTTATTGTATTAAATAAAATAAACACAAAAAGAAGACAGAAGGACGCTAACTTTACCTCTATAGCGGAGTGCTGCTTACAAGAGCAGCAGCAGCATGGGGCCCCAGCAGCAGCAGCAGCAGCAGCAGCAGCAGCAGCAGCAGCAGCAGCAGCAGCGACTGTGTGGCTGCCTCATCGACGACTGCTGCAGCAGCTGCTGCTGCTGCTGCTGCTGCTGCTCTCTGGTGTCTTCAGCTCTGTTATATTATTAAATATTTCTTTTATACTTTTCTTTTTCTGTTGCTGCTGAGCTTCTTGCAGCAGCCAGCTGTACACACCCTGCAGCAGCAGCAGCAGCAGCAGCAGCAGCAGCAGCAGCAGCAACTCAGACAGACAGCAGCAGCAGCAGCAGCAGCAAGCAGGATAACGACATATGTGTTGACTTTGTATTGAAATAAAATAAAAGGAAGCAAATAATACTGCATGCAGCAGCAAAACAATAGAGTCGCG